TGTTCAATAGGTTCCGAACCCCTTCTCTTTCTGTCCAAACCTGCAAAATCCAAAAAATAAAAAATTGATGATTTGAGTTTTTTTTTTTAATAGCTTGAAAGGAAAAGGGGGACCTTGGAACAACGGTAGAGTTGTCTCCGTGTGACCTATAGGTCACGGGTTCGAGCTGTGGAAGCAACTACTAATGCTTGCATTATGGTAGGCTATCTACATCACAACCCTTAGGGTGCAGCCCTTGCTCGGATGCTGCATGAATGCAGAATATTTGTGCACCGGGCTGTCCTTATTTAATAGCGGAAGGAAGAAAAAGACCAAGTTTGTACAAAAGTTAGGAATCTTTACACAATTAGCCGGTCAGATTTACCATTTACTTTGTTTGATCGGTATACATAAATTATATATAGTTATACACATATTATACATGTATTAAAACAGTAAAGGGTACCTTGTTGTACTCGGATATCATCCCACAAAGTGCAATACGAGCTCCGTGGTTGACATGATTAAGAACAGCCTCAAGCATTTTACCACCAACATTGTCAAAATAAACATCAATCCCATTTGGGAAATATCTGTAAGAGGTAATACAAAAATTATGAGCATGTCAATCGCTAGAAAAGTAGTCCAAGGAAAATAAAAAGATTTACTAGCTAGTAATTAGTACTACCAAAAACCTAAATATTTTGAAGAAGCAAAGAAATTTACTTGGTTAATATAGCATCATAATCTGTCTCTACACGGTAATTAAAAGCATCGTCGTAGCCACATTCTTCTTTCAACAGCTGCACCTACCAAGAGAAAAGAAGAGGAAGCATATATCCAGATTACAAGCATAATTTAATTTATCTCCAGTTGAAAACACTTACTCTTATGAAAAATATATTTTCACTTTCACTTAATCTATTTTCGCAAATCAAGAGAAGGACAATTTTCTTTTTCCCCTTGTTTTACTCTTATAATTAACTACTTACTTTCCATATCATTTCCTAGATTTTTTTGAAATGTTATCATTATTATGGGATTATAAAATACATATTTCGATTATTTTTTCTGGGAATGTTATCATTTCCTATCTTTTCTATGCCCACCCACGCAGTTATACCAGGCATTCCTATTACACATAAATAAAAGAAATTACTTGATTTTTGTTTTAAGTTCATGACTGTAAAAACGATAATTAAAATTGGTGAAGGAGAGGTATTAGGTATATACCTAAGCAACTAAGATAATCGGGCAACGCAATCCCAATTGCAGGAGTAATCTTCTGAAGCAAATTTGAGGGCATAACACCAAATTCTGAAACAGGGCAAATACGGCTAAGTACTATATCTCCCTCTGAAAACATGGCGTCCTTAGATTGAATTACCTTCCCCATTCCAAATGCTCTTATCACCTGCAATTTTTCATTTTATTAATTAATATCAGCATACTTTAACTGAATTAAAGTTTGTTAATTGTAAACAGGATACTTATATTTCTTTTTCAATATTAAAGTTACTCTTATCCTTTGAAGCGTGTACTAGTTACCCTCTCAGCTTCATTTTATATGATATGCATTTATAGCCATCGAAATATCATGGCATATTTAAGACTATAAGTTTTGAGGCTATCTTTGATACTCTGTCATTGTTTAATTTTCACATAATACCCTCATTGACATGCAAATATTGCCACTGAAATGTCCTGGCATATTTAAGATTATAAGTTTTGATGGTACTTTTGATACTTCCTTTGCATCTCTTCAAATTACCATTTATCTCTCCTCAAAAAATTAAATCATTTATTGAAGCAAGAATTAGAGTTGAAAGCAAAAACTACGGTTATATGTAAAGCATCATATTTTTTGGACAAAATTGATTTGGTTGAAATAACACTTACTTTTGATCGGAGCTAACGGAGTACATAAGAGAGAGGACTTGGAATGTCACTTGTCCATCTGGAATGGAATCCTCTCTCAACGATAAACTCACAGTACGTTGCTTAAGATGCTCAGAATTGGGAATACCCGTTGGTGCATAACTAGCAACATACCACTCTCTATTCTCCACCTCCGTCGATGCAGCAGCCATTCTACGTGTTACTGTGTGTGTATGTGCACGCATAATTGTAATTTGTGTGAAGAAGAGATTTTAAGATGATATATGCACCGAGGAAAAGGCGTAATAAATTGAATTTTGGTGGATATTTAAGCGTCCCCAGATGTATAGTGGTGGTCCTTGACACCTTGTGCTGTAGTTTTCCTAGTCTAAATTAGAGGTGTGATATGTGGTGGAGAAAAAATTGGATAGTTTGCTTTTGTTCCATGAATGCACATTTTTTTACTGTTCTTCTTCCTTTTTTTTTTTTTTTTTTTTTTTTTTTTTTTTTTTTTTTTTTTTATACAAACCATAAATATTCGAATAATGCTATAGACAAGTTACGCAGAGATAGACAATCTAAGGATTAGTAGCGTATGGCTTAGTAATGGAGATTATAATATAGTGATTAGTAATGTAGGATTAATGATGCGAAGATTTTTTTTTTAATTGCTTTCTTGTTGAATATTATTAAGGAAAAAAAAATTCTAAAGAGTATGAGGGCAATTTTATCAATTTTATTTTAATTCATGTATTGCTAATATTTACTTTCTTATTCCATATTTTATCTCGTATAAAATAATATATAGATTCTAACATCTTTTACACATAAGAGATCTAAAAAAAACTATTTTTTTAATTTCAACATTGTAAAAAGCCATGAATAACCAATTCCTCTATTATTTATGTGGAAAAGAAAACAAATAACCAAATAATGTAGTATTAGTTAGTAACAAATTGTATGTGGTGATTAAATGCTTATTTCACCAACCAAACGGCCTCTAATTGATATCTCCATATGTAGATATGCTTCGACATTTTTTTTTAAAATCAAAGCTCCCCATGGGGGAATATATTGATAAGTCAAAAGGAACATAGAAGGGGTATAAGCCTAACCTCTCAAAACAAAGCTGGGATGGACAGAGTCCATCCTTACAATTTGATCTATCTACAAAGGAACAAGCAAAAATCACCTAGATCAAAGTTGAAGGTACTCTTCCTCAACTTGATTCTAAAATTTGGCCTCCCTATCTCATCATTCTTCAGTGAGGATATTATCTGCCTTGGTAGACTTATAGCCTCAGTAAAGAATATATTTTTCCTATCCAATACAGCTAAGTTAGCAAGGAGGTCAGCTGGGATGTTGCCTTCTCTGAAAGTGTGAACAAATTGAAAATGTCCAACTAGGTTCATAGCTTGAATCTCTGAGATTTCATCCTTGATATGCCAAGAAGTGGTGATATTTCCTTTAATTATCTGAATCACAAGGAAAGAGTCTGACTCTATTGTTACCATGTTGAAACCATGATCTAAATACCATCTCAAACCAGTTTTGATTGCTTGACCTTGAGCAGAGTTGTTCGAACAACAACCAAGATACACAGTGAATGCCATAATCATATGACCAAGATGATTCCTCAGGATCCCTCCACCTCGTGCGTTACCAGGGTTCCCTTTGCTACACCCATTGACATTTAATTTGAGATCCCCTATTGCAGGTTTTTTTCAGCTCACAGGTATAATATTTAATTGGGGCTTGATTCTATCTACCATATGCGATATCTTTGGGAATAGAGATACAAAGATAGAGAGGAAAATTGAGTAGAAAGCAGCAACTGCATCATGGTGGTAATCTGATGAATGACTCGGGCAATAGAGCCTCTAATACCTTCATATTTATAAGTACATCTATATTTTCAGATTTCCCAACAGATAACAGAAGGGAGGCATTACAATATCATTTCATGTACTTTTTTCTGTTTGATGAGCCACCATTTGATGAATTTATCCCTGATGCCTCGAGTAGAACAAGTAGACAAACCACACACATCTTCGAAGTATTTCCAAACTTTGATAGCAACATTCCCCTCATAGAATAAATGATTAGTAGTTTCAATGTTGCAAATGGCGCAACAATAACATCTTGATGGCCCATGTACATTAAATCTGGTAAGAGAATCATCAGTAACAAGTTTACCATTAAGTAATCTTAGTACATGGAAGGAGACTTTGAATGGTAGTTTACAGTGCCATATCTTAGAAAGAGTAAGGGAAGTACCTCTTGATTTTCTAAATGTTTCCCAAGCTGATTTACTAGTGAAAGATCCAGAAGGATTAGCAAGCCAGATAGGCCGATAATTCTCTTCTGGTGAAATCTTAATGGACTGAATATGAGATACCAGATGAGAGGGGAGGGTATCATGAAGTTTATCCAGCATCCATTGGTTGTGAGAGATAAAATCAGCCATTTTTGTTTTTTTGGACTTGTTTTCATGTTGGATTAGCTTAGCAAGAGCACCTTTGTTAGTCCAGTTATCCCACCAAAATGAGAGGTTACCTTTCCCTACTTTCCACTAAATATGATCTTCACAATCCTCCTTGATGTCCATTAGCCTTCTCTAAATGTGTGACTGAGAATAGCTTTTTTTCCTAGCAACCGGATGATATCTTTTGCAATATTTAGCTTCCAAGAAGAGGGTGAGAAGAGATTTTTGAGTCCTGAAGTTCCACCATGATTTAGCAGCAAACGAAATGTAGATGTCATGCGATGACCTAAAACCTACCCCTCCCTCCACCTTAGGATAACATAAATTTTTCCAGAAAACCAATGATAGATCCTCTTGCACTCTGATGTGCACCAAAAAAAACTAGCAAGAGATTTTTCAATATAATCAAGGGTACTTTTTGGTGGATACACAATATATATGATATGTAAAGAGAGAGAATGCAATAGAGACCTAATAAGGACTGCTCTAACCCCAATGGAAAGAATCTTCCCTTTCCATCCCTGAGTTCTATTTGCTATTTTAGCCACCATATTTTCAAAAAAGCATATTTTCTTTTTTTCAAGAAAGATTGGACACCCCAAATAAGTAAAAGGGAAGTGGGAAGTGGGAATGGGAAAAACTAGTGATAGCTTTGATGTCCTCAATTACAAGGGGTGGAGTATTAGAAGATACCATGAAAGCAGATTTCCTTTTGTTCACCATTTGGCCTGAGATTTGTTTATATTTCTCCAACTTGTTTATCATCATGGCAATGGAAAGCAAGTCATCAGAGGAGAAGAGGATGGTGTCGTCAGCATATGTGAGATGAGTGATTAAGGGGCTTTCATTATCCATAGAGAAAGGGATGAAGTTATCATGTATCAATTGATCCATCATGTAGGATAGTAATTCAGCACCAATGACAAAAAGAAAGGGAGATAGTGGACCCCCTGCTTCAAACCTCTGGATGATTTAAAAAACCCATGTCTCACTCCATTGATATTAATGGAATACCAATTGTCTAGCCACCATATCAATCCAAAATTCAAAAACTCCTAATTGCCTCATAATCTGGCAAAGATAATCCAAGGCAACTCTGTCAAAGGCCTTTGCCATATCCAGTTTGAATACAACATTACCATTTATATTGGACCTATTCAAGTTGTGGACAAGTTCTTGAGTGAGTATGCCATTAACAGAAATAGCTCTTCCCATAAGGAATCCAGTTTGACTAGGAGAAATAATCCTATTCATAAGAGGGGCTAACATATTATTAAGCAACTTTGAGATAATTTTGGAAGTAAAGTTTCTTAGACTAATAGGCCTAAAATCAGTGAATTGCCGAGGACTATCAATTTTAGGAATAAGGACACGGCATGTATGAGTGAAGGACCTAGGAAGTTCAGTTCCAGAGAAGAAGTCCAAAATCACATCATAGAGATCATTAGTAATTATATCCCAACAGTGTTGAAAGAATTTCCCAGAAATACTATCAGGACCAGGTAAGCTACTACCGTTGATAGAGAATACCACTTGTTCCAGCTCTTCCATGG